TTCTTCAAGCATTGAGAATGTTTCAATCTGCTACTGGAAAACTTGAAATTATCAGCAGAGATTTTCCAACTGTCCTGAATATTGTTACATGCAGTTCTACTATCCAAACCGAAAAAAAGAATTCAAAAAAGGAAATTACATTTCGGTGAAAAGGATGACACTGACAATAGGGCGATGGATGCTCACGAGGACTATCATGAAGTGAATGTGTTCAATGTCGTAATGGATCAAATTGTAACAATTAAGCACCAATAGTAGATTTGAGAACCACAAGAACTTTACCAAGATTTTTCCGGTTTGGACCCTTGCCAATTTGATGAATGCAGAAGACAGAGGCTGCCTCAAAATGCATTAGAGAGTCTTTGTGAAAAGATTGGAAATCATGCATGTTGAACCAATTCATGCAGTGGTATGCAGAAACAAGTCTTGCAGGTCATGTTTCAGCTGCGATTTCAAACGCTTTTATGAATACGCATGTCTCGACTTATCTACGTATTCCGAACTATATGCAGCTTATCAGTATTCAGTATCGCTTAGTGTAACGCAAGTCGACTGCGAAACACGCAACATTGGGCAGGAAAAATTAGAGGCACTTATATGCTGACGTACATGCATAAACAGATGATCAATGACATATCAAATGAACAGATCACCAACCAGTTTGCCAACAGTTCCTTAGCACTGAGACGGCTCCTAACGGCTAACACCATGAAGACATTGAAGACATTGAAGAGTAGACAATAATTTCCTTTCTCTCTTTTGACGTTAAGAACATAAATTCATATTTCATTTATAATTTATTTATGTAAGTTACTTTTATAAAACAATGACATTTTTGCAGATCGATGACTAATGATAAAAGTGCCTATACTAATCAAGCCAAATCGCCCGGGCCCCCTTGAGGTAGCCAGTCAGGGTTCGTAGTCTCCAAGACCAAAATTACTTCAAAGACTTTCAAAGATTTTTTCTGCCTATTTTCAAAGACTTTTCAAAGACCTTTGAGAGCAATCAGCTGTCGAAAAATTGCGAGTGTATAAGCACCATTTTTGCCCAGTAATTAGTCCCGCCACATCACAGCTAAAAATGTACCTTTTCGTCGATATTTGCGAAAACCTTGCTTGCTCTTCAATCAATCTATTCAGTTATTAGCTAGGAAATTGTATAATCAAATACTCACTAAAGAATTCGCTTTTTCACACAATTCAAAGACTTTTCAAAGACCTTAAAGACCTGCATTCAAATTTAAAGACTTTCAAGGATTTCAAAGACCGCTACGAACCCAAAGACCCCCATTAAGACCCTCTTCCATACAGGAACCGGTTTAACGAGAGCTCATGTACACATTGCATAAATTCATGACCCCATGTCGCAATTTCAATGTAATCCGATATTCAGGAATTTATGGGGTGTATTCAACCATAGCATTAGCCTATATGATTCAACTCAAACCGAAACTAAACACAGAGTCACAGATACTTTATCTCAATCTTTCAAACTGCTGTTTAATCTTTAAATCAAATCAAGCAGTGTTTTGAACATTATAGCGATGTAAATAAACCACAAGACAACACGTAGTTCCTGAATGAAGAAATAAAGCCAAGGTAATATATATATAAGACGAAATGAAATATATTTACATTTAAGGAATTGCATAAGCATATCGAAAATACAAACCCGCTTCAACCATGACTATAAACACAAATAATTTCTGAAGACCAGAATTGAAATTGTCCACAGATATTTCGTTAAGTTTCGCAAGAGTTAGACGTCTTTTATACGCTTGCTTTAACTCATATAATTTGACTAAATTGTTGATGACGGCTACAATATACATGCTAACATGGTGCTGTCTTAAGCGTTCTATTTTCAGTTCAAACGACATCTAACATCTCTTCTCTTATGTATATGTCTCAAGGTATTGATTCAACAATGATCTAAACACAAAATGTCCTCATACGACACTGGCTATGAAGATGAACTATTTCAACATCCCGTTGGCCATACGTTGCATTGTAGTATATGTCTGAATGTTTTAAAACATCCAGTCACGTGTCGACATAATGAGCATCTGTTTTGTCGAGCTTGTATCACCATACATCTCATGAACTTTCAAACATGTCCATCGTGTATGGAACCACTCACTGTCGAATCACTGCGCCAAGCACCTCGAAACATAACGAACTTACTTTCCGAATTAAAGATCCGCTGTCAATTCTTCGATCGTGGTTGCGGACAGTTTGTTGAATTAGGAGATCTCGAAAGGCATGTCACTGACTGTGGGTTTGCCCCAGCAGTCTGCTCTAACGAAGGATGCCAACTTGAGGTGAATAAACATGATTTACTTCACCATGAAACAGCTGTGTGTGAACTACGCAGAGTTCAAATCAAACAAGAGATGGATACAGTGAAAGTTAATCTGGCAGCAATAAATGAAAAGTTGAAAGGAGTTGGGGAAAAGATGGACCGAAATCAGGAAAACGTGAAAAGCTGTGTGGAGAAAGCCAACGCAAAGGTTGGAAACGTCGTCGCTGAGGTTGGAAACGTCGTTGCGAATGTGGTCGCAAAAGTTGAACTGGTTCAAGAACAACTTAACAAGCAGGAAGAATGCAATCGTCGGCTCAAAGCGGACAATGTGGAAATGAAGAAAAGTTTAAATGAAATTACGAAACAACTGGAAAGAATGACTCGACAAACATCGCACGAAGTTCAGGCGGAAGAAATGAGAAAAGGGACTGCAGAAGGCGGAGTGGACCGAGAGCCGAAGGTCGTTGTTGCTGGAGGTTACAACGGAAGTGGAAATTCAAATTCGGTGGAAATGTTCAGTCTCTTAAATGCAACCTGGACACCACTACAGCCAATGAAAGAAAGTCGTCAGAGCGAATCGTCAGCTGTTTACAACAATCACGT